GGTGCGCGTTTACGTAAACACTTTGTTGTTTCGCCGTATATAAATCGAAGAATCAGTGAAGGTAGCTATGTATTTTATTTTAATTTTATTTCCGTTTTATATTTACTAACGTATATATTAACCTGTAAATCACGCTTAAATATCTAACCATGAAACTTCACAGGAAACTTAACTTGAAAAAGTATGCAGAGGTAGCAATGGGGAGGCATTTTGAGGGTGTTTTGGGCATGCCCAATGCTGCCACCTTTATGTAATGTATATGGTGAAATAGTCTGTTTTACATTACCAAAATTAAGTTAAAATATTTCGATGATTTTAATTGCAGAAAGACGCCGTCGGTATAAAAAGAAGGGTAAGCGATGCGAAATTCCGAAAGACAGAACTGAATATTACGTGCCATAGAAGAAGCGTCAAAAGGAGATAACATAAAAACAACTAGTGATAAGTTTGAAAGACCTAAAACTAACTTGCTACGATATCTTAAACAATATGTAAAGAATTCTTCATCCAAGTTTATATCTTCACAAATTTTCGATTTATATCATGTATCGAGGGCGTTTTAAACATCATGTCCAAACCTCCCATAGGTGGTGCCCGAACCTCCATACCATGGAGAGCTTTGGGCACCATTGACTCATTTCTGAAATCCTTTTGTAACTTTGAGACTTTTCTTTGTAAAACATCTTGGTGCAATTGAACTTGGCAATAAATATAGGATATATTAAAAATGTGTTTTTTTATTACGTCCTATGTGAAAAAGTCCTCATCTTTCCCCTACCTCCCCTAAACTAGAAAATACTAGAGAACATACTCTCATATTTGGCATTGTTCAGAGACTAAAAGTGACCAGTTGTCATTAAATCTCTACCCTTAAATTACACGCGGTGTCTTTCAATACGTTCCATTTTTGCCTTATTAAATAAATTAGAAAAAGCGGGTCAAGTATATTGGACTCAATTTATGTAGAATTGTAGGTTCCCTCTATCCTTTATGCATATATATCTTTGAGTATTCACGTATTCAAAGATTGTCACTACGTAACTTTAACATATTGGCAAGTGGCAACATTGCACATCAGTCAGATGCGCGTCTTGGTGTTTCCATGTCACACGAATATCAAATGTTGGTGTGTAAACATTTGGAGCCACAATGTTAAAAGTGTAGTTTGTTAAATAATCTGATATCAAAGTTAGTGTTAGATAAAAATTCTAAACCATAAAAAACCTAAACAGCTTTTAACGTGGATGAACCACGCTGCTGCTATAATACAGCCTTAGCATGAATGGTCGACTTGACAAGAGGTGATGGTCCGCACGGCGTATGTTTGCTCGTCGACGATTGATTCATGTGTATAGATGGACTACGTTGCTCAACAAAAATTCCGCGTCATCGCTCACTTGTTTGCGCGTCAATTCCTGCTAATGAATACAAGGCTTTATCTTACCAAATTAAACAACCACAGATAAAAAAATATTTTATTAAAACGCAAAATTACTTAAAAAATTAGCATTACATAGCTTAAAATGATAATTTATAGAGTTAAAACGTTACACTAATCCATATTTAATAACATGCAAAATCACAACTACAACATTTTACAAGACACCCGCTGACGGCAAGTCCCGGCAGAGCCCTCTCACAATTTGAATTCATTGAATACAAAAGCGACGTCGACACGTTTTGACGTCCATCACACACAAAGATGGCAAGTTATTCTAAAATATTACAATCAGAACTCTAATCATTCGAGACCCGGACGTCTGCGGATTATAAATGGAAACTTAAATTACATATATATTACCTTGAAACATCGCTACAGAAATTGCTGCTTTTTATAACACTCAAATCGTAACTTGCGAGCGTTGTACGCGAAAACCTGGTCGTTTGTTGGCTTTACGCAGCTGTGCGCAGCAAAAGAACCGGAAGAGACCGGTCATAAAGATTTCCGAACGCATGCCGATAAGACTATATAAAAACCTACGCAGAATGTGCGTCGCGTTATCAATTCGATTAACATTGACTTGTCGCTTAACCGCCGATATTATCCTAAAATATACACATTACAGTAAAGAACACTCGACTTAAATGAGCGTATCGTTTTTAATATGTACTCATTTCAATCTTCCCGCCAAAACTGACAATCTGTCAAAGTAATACGTGCATCCTTTGAATGACTCAACAGTAACTACGGTCGTGACCGTCGAGTTTTCGTTATAAATCACACTTATAACCCTCGGTCGTAATTGATACGATAGAATCAAGTGAAATAGGTATTACAACTTCATTAGTGACATTATAATTGAACGGAACGGTTGAGATTTTCACAAACGACTTCATTTCTTACAATTTACTAGTCCGGTCGACGGAGCCCCATGAAGCGGGTGATTTTTTGATTTTCAACATTCATCAAAATTGGATGATTTTTCGATTTTCTAGAGCCAAAAAAACAAGCGAAAGTATAAAATTACCTTTTTAAGTTGTAAGAAATAAAGTCGATTGATAATCTACCGTTCAATTATAATATCACCAGTGAAATTGTAATATCACGGCTTTGACAATTAACATTGATTAAAATATATTCAAATTAAGACAATGGGTAATAACCATAGAATGCTATAATACACAATAGAATGGCTGTCAACCTTATTTTGTACCGAGGTTCGGCGTCGCCGGGAGCACATATACAAGCAATTACGTCGTATTATAAGTTAATCACTACTACAAACCCGATTCGCTGTGTTGACAGACGGATTTTAATACATATTTATTTGTAAATAGCGTGCAATTTGGCATTTTCTAAATAATTTGCATGCGAAATTTGGAAACGATTGTAACGTCGAAACACATCTCGTGTTGACATTTATACGTGTGAATTGACGTCTTGTGGCATTTTAGTGACTACGCGGGCTCCGCCCACACCCCCGTTCTATTATGTATGTATTATAGTATTCTATGGGAATAACCATAGTAAGTACATCAACATGGACTGTGTTAACAATTGTATACGGGTAAAAGTTAATATCAGGTAACAATAACCTGTCCATCATTTATTAAAACTATTTACAAAATATTCAAATAATTTTCAATAAATTATGAATAAAATAATGAATCCTTACATCATCTCGAATAATTTTCAATAAAATATGAATTAAATAGTGAATCACTAATTAAAATATTAAAATGCTTATTTCATTAATATTTATACACATCATTTTTACATTACGGATTTTTACCTTTACATAACGGAGGTTTTAGTTAATATTGTCTTTATCAACTCCACTCAAGTGAACAACTACTAAGTATTTCAGGCATATGTAATACAGACAAAAGAAACCAATTAAGTGTCCAATACATATATATCTTTTTTTACTTATATCCTTTTAAACTACTTTTCATAGTGCGTTACGTAGGCTTAAATTGCGTAAATTTTATTAAGGAGTAGTATCACTAGATAGTTAGAAATATCGTGTGTGTACCATTTTCTGCCACAAAGCAAGTGTGTTCACTGCTGTTTTCTGGTCGAAGAGTCCAGAGAGCCAGTGTACTAACAGGCTATGAGATATTCCATATTAGTCCTCAGGAGTATCAACGCATCTGTAGATTCTTTCCTTAAAGTTGGTGGCAGGTGTCCATGGGCTGAAGGAGCCACTTAACATCGGGTGGACTGTGGGTTGGTCCCATAAAAATAAAAACAAATTGTTGATATTTACAACTAGGCTCCGCAGTACAATATTATCGTGCGCCCAGCGAAGAGAGCGGGAGTTTACTTCACAGTTAGTGCGATTGTATAATCATGTTATTCTAATTTTCAAAATGTATCATCTAGACTTCCTCAATAAAAACACACAATGCTATGTTTATAATCTACGCTTGTCGTTTGTCTACACCCTTGTTAAATGCTCGAAATTCTTATCTTTTAACCATTTTCAGGGGGCAGAAGGCACTAGGCATCCGTCACAATGTGTCCCGAACACATATTTACATATAGCTCTCATCACACTAGACTATATACAAAATACAAACCAGACCAACGTCAGGTCTCCATAAGTGAAACCTTATGGAAGAGATATTGGGGGTGCGGCCCTTGCAAAAACATATATAACAATATTGTTAAGATGCTACATCAAGCATGGTCATACTCCTTAAAGGGTAGCAAGTTTTAACCTGCGATACAGCTGTTGCATGTAGTACAAAGCTGTAATTGTTACATTTTGAAAGAGACTGAAGGAAGACTATCGGTTAGCTTCAACTATGAAGTATTTGTAGCACTAATGACTGCATATTTGAATCGCATGTGAACAAAACTCTTAAACTTGTATGATTGATGAGCGAGCGACAAAACCGAGTATAGGGTATAATAGGTAGGAATTACAGAAAACACTACAAAATCTAGTTTAGCTGGTCGATAGCCTTATAATCGTAATTATTTTAATGAGAGGATATAATGCATTATTTCTTAGTTGTATGTTGAATAAAGTTGTAGAATTAAGAAAATTTACAATTTTAGTTGATTACTTTTGAAACAAATTCTGGCAGTCTTTCACTTTTAATGTACTGATGTAATGATACAATAATATTTTCTATTACTTATATTTTGCTAATTATAATTCGATTATAGATATATTTAATGATGAATTATTGACAGTAATTGTAACACGGACATCTTAAAGTCTTCATTTGTAAAATAACTTAAAACAGATATGAAATGCTATAAATATTCAATAAAATAATAAAACATGTGAATAAATATTTGAATTATCTATTTATCAAAGGATTCATTTAAAATTTAAATATACATGGCATTACAGTTTATTAACTACATTGATATTTGAAAATTATTCGCCACACCATAACATACATGTCAAGTGTTTTTGACAATTTACAGTCAATTCACTGTTTATCACAAAACAATCACCTAACTCTGACTTCAATAGATTATATATATTATTCACTTTCATTGTTTTACTGCTGGGCGGACATTTTACTTCACAGTCAAGTGTCTATGTGTTTCTAGTAACCTCTATATTGCTTTTACTTCTTGAATAGTTTGTTCCACTGCAAGACATGCTTCTGTGGGGGTGGTGCACCTGACGTAGATGGCGCCTGGTTTGCAATGCCTTGTGGCGCATTGCTATGGAAGCCTGCAGAACCAATAATTTTACTGTTACACTAATAATACTACTACTTACTAATATTTAGTTAGCTTTCGAAATACAAGCTTCTTCTTATAAAATATAAATTATTAATCGGTTAACTAACCCCTGAAACTATGAAATATTGGATATAATAATATATGACATATGAACCCTACTATTAACCCCCACCCCATGTATATTTAATTTGTAATTTCGTTTCCCCTTATGATCTTTTCTGCAGTAAAGAGCGTGAAAAAACTATTCAAAATTTACAGAATGTCCCAGAAGTCGATGTCAAGTCGAAATCGGGTGATATGTCAAGGCATAATAGTTAATATAACAAAAACAGAACATATAAAAAAATCTTTGGTATGCATTTTAAAAATTACAGGCATTTAATAAATAATCGAGAAAATGAGTTGGGCCGATTAGTACTTTGGCCTATTGGCCGATTAGCCGATTAATCGGTTAAGAAATGGCCGATTAATCGGTTAAGAAATGGCCGATTAATCGGCCCAGCCGATCCCTATCCGATGATAAATTCAAATGGTAGAACAAAAATTCTTCCAGATATCAAGAAATGTCCAGTTTAGCCAAAGTTTTCCTTTGAAAACCAGCTTTGTGTATAGTGAGAGACTTTTTTGGAGGCAAAGAAATCGACTTCAACCAGAAAAGGCTGAGATTTTGGCCTTTTTGCAGCACAATTTTCCACTGGTTCAAAATAACAAATAAATTAAATATTTTCTGAATAGCCTTCAATACTTTTTCAAATTAAATATTTCTTTTTAACAAATTATTAGATGATTATAGATTCTTTATTTAATCACATTACAGGAAAAAACAATTTTCAAAAAAACAAATTTTGTGTTTATTAAAGCCCCATTCAACAGCTTTAAAATAATCCATTCCCAGGTTATATCATCGTTGGTTGCCAGCCTATAGACATTTAAATGTGCCAAAACATAAAAATTTCCGTAAAAATTTCCATAAAAATTTAAATATTTAAAAATTAATAACTTCAAAAGTAATTGTGCTACATAACTGAAATTTCGTTTTTTCGTGTCTGATATATTGCTGCATAAAAAATCATGAAAAACTGAAGCATCAATTCTGAAAATCTCCCTAAATTGTGTTGAATTGACATGGAATTCCCTTTCCAATTTTAAGCAAATTTTCAGGAGCATTATTCAGAATAACATTCTTTTATAGCATAAGGGTGACAAACGAGCACACAGCTCACCTGATGGTAAGTGGTTGCTGCGGCCCATAGACATCTACATCTAGCCTCGATTACGTATCAAAATGCAGATGCGTTGTCACCCGTGAGGACTAAGATGGATGGCTAGTTTCCAGTAAAAAGTTGCGGTTTTGGTTCTCTACACTGACCACACGAAACACAGCAGCGTTAAGCTGCTAGTTTAAGCTGGTATTCTTTGAGACGAGCCGCCCCATTTGTGCTACAACCATAATATAGCTGCAGCGTAGCTCTGCCACGATAAAATATTTTTTTTTCAGAACTTTAATAGCTGATGCGGTGACGCTCTAGGCCAGTGCCTAGTGTGCCTTATTACAAATCCATCACTGACTATAATCCTGTCGAGTGCAGATGGCTAGTTGTTCTTAAGACGGGCCGCAAAAAAGGCGCGGTTTGTAACGTGGTAGGATTACCTCTCTCCAGCAGGCTGGTGAACGCTTGCTGGTGTCGAAGAGACTCCCAGCGGGCGCGCCGCTACTCGGGCAGCTCCCTTTCCCCGCCGGCAGCCGCCTTCTCAGCAATACACGAACGCGCCACAGACGCGAACAGTCTGTCGATTAAAACGTTACATGACAAACAAACAAAAGGAAACATGTTTGTGTGTTAAAGACAATGACTTTGGTATAAGGTTAAATATTTGACAGATTATATTGCAGGGAAGTTAATTTGTTAGGAAAATGTAAGGATTTAAGTTTCTAGTATAGTCTAGTAATATCTTCTCTTCTCACTAAAATTTTTATTAAATAGATTAAAAGTGAACCAAACTATGTATATTCCTAAAAGTAGACAATTTTAAGAGCTACACGCGTGCAAAAATTAAAGAAAAAATTACTGATGCACTGTTTTTTGTATTAATATAATACTCTTGAAACTAATGAACTTTTATTTAAATAACATTATGTAACAAAAAACTACACCACAGCCCCAAGTAGAGACATCTGGTTAGCGAAAGAATATTAACCCTCATTGGTATATACGAATTATTATGTACTTTTTTGTATTCATGTTTATTTATGTATCATCTCGTAGTAGACATGCGTCAATTATTCATTTCTCGTGACCGAATCCTAGTACCTAGTACCGGTACATTCGGATCGATCATTCAAATGGGTCATTTCGGGCTCCAGTACTCTGGAAGTCTGTGAAATCCAATAGGAACCGAAAATGTTCTTTCAATCCATTCGGATCATTCGGGATTCGGTCGGTTTTCAACTCATTCACAATTCACACCAATCACGAGTTAAAAAGGTTCCGTCAATAGTTAATGATTGGTTTCACCGGAACATTAAAAAACAGATGAATTAACCATCAATACTTTTAGGTGTACCAGCTCAAACCAACGAATCATTCATGATTGACACATGTCTATCTCATGAGTATCGTAAGAAGCGACAGGGGGAAACTGACACAGGAGATGGGCAGCTGCATCTTCCAAACTCTTCTTTCTCTTTATGCGCAACCGCTATTTGCCGACCCGCCCGCCAAGCGACAAAACTCCTTTTATGAGACATTCTATGGGAGAGGCCTATAATCAGCAGTGAACTTTGTTAGGTGGTAATTACTATTTATTTTATCAATGTTTCGTTTTTTCTTTTGGAAACCAGTAAATTTTTTGAATACAATACAACCCATATAGCTCCCAGTATTGTTCTCTCTATCACTATACAATCGGTTCACCTTTTTTCAATAATAGCCCGTACAAACAGACTGATAAGTTTTAAAAATGGTTATGCATTTCTTAGTAGAATGCAAATAAACCCCTGAGCTTGATCAAACGCAGTGATTTAGACATTACAGACAGACACTTTTATATAGTTTTTAATAAATATAAAACTAAGCTGCAGAGGCGCTTAACGAAACTGCAAGATTTACTGCGAGAGTATTTGATACTTCTTTTCTTCATCAGCCCCTAGAAGCCCACAGCTGGCCATTCAACATTGATGCGAGGATTTAATCACCAAGCTTTATAGGCGGAATTTCGATAAAGTACCAGACGTTTCATACTGATGACGACAATAGACAAACAATGTAAAACAAACAAATTGTAACAATTCAAAGAGACATAACCTGAAGAAAAAATTATATGTGATAAATTGAGATTCATTCAAAAGAAACAGAAATACTAACATCAACCCTACCAGTTTGTAGAATAAATGGTGTAGAAATGTGCTCATTACGGAGTATGTTAGAGCTGAATCAGAATGACAGGGTGAGAAATTATGTGATTAAGAGAATAGTGTGGTTTGCAAGAAGACAAAGCAAATTTATGTTGCAGAAATACGGAAAAGTCGGGAAAGGACGTCCTAGACGACAGTTTATCGACCAAATTGACGATATATTGAAGATGGGCCAGATTAAAAGTACCCTTAACCGACGAGCATGTACGGATACAGGTAAGTATATGGATGTAAAGGAGGCGAGAGGCGTGTCAGGATCGTGCCAAATGTAAGTCCGTGGTCTCTGCCTACTTCGCTGGGTGATAGGCGTGAGTGTTTATATTTAATGTTTTTTAGATTAAAGAAATAAAACAAAATATTTTGAAAAATACACATAGTTGTGAAAAAAATGCCATAATGATAAACTAAGTTGCAAAGTTTTCTTCATATGTCAATATCGACTTAATGGTTACATTAAAATCCTAATCGTCTATGTTGCCATTCTTAGGGGTGGATGTTTTTCCACTTATATGGCAAGTAAAAGTATAACTAATGTACAATTTATTTAATAAAAGAAGAATTATCTATAGGGGTTCACAATTGACGAAAATATCGCATTACATACGTACAAAAAAACATACAGTCAAATCGCAGGCCTCCTACTCTCTTTTATAGTCAGATAAAACGTCTTGTTGAATATTAAAATCTTCAAACGCCACTCTATATGAAACTGTCGTAAAATCTCGTGATGTCTCTAATCAATTTAAGTCAAAGTGACTGTGACATTAGCACAAGAATGGCATAAGAGATTTTGATAGTACTCTGGGACATCAAAGACTGTATTTATTGGTAATAATACTAATGAGATTATCAAAAAATCATATGGCGCTCGCTTTGAAGCACAATATAATACGTAATTTTAATAGAAAACTACATTAAAAGAAATGCAATCAAAGAAATTCCTTTCCTTTGTAATGATTGCTTGTTTGTAACTCACTTTTCAATCTCGGGCGCGCAATGAACAAATTCATGCGACCAGAACTTGTAGACGGGGTTCTTGATCAGTTCGATAAACGTGATAAGAAGTCCCCAGGGATGTGGTCGGTTCACGATCAGCCTCTCCAGCAGCATCCTCGTGATCTGCTCCTGGACAGCTTCCGAGTTCGCTTCGGCGAAGAGATAGAGAAGACAGCAGCTAAAGTAGTGGGTGTGGCTGTTCGGGTAGCGGAGCTGGTTGGCGATCGCGTTGAGAAATAGGTAGCTGAAAGTTAACAATATGTTTAAAATGGTCTGTTAAGAAAACTTGCCTAAACTTTACTGACAATATAATAACTATGATGTCCTCCAGACCGAATTTCGACCACGGCGGCCTGCCTCAACGGAGGCTAGCCATCGGCGCAGGACGGGATTATAGTGCCCAAGTGTATGCGCAAGCACAGGTGCACTCTCTATTCCCTTACTCTCGTAATCCGATGGGACGGTAAACCGACACGACCGGAGAGAGATCAGGCGCAGGATCAACGGCTTTACGTGCTTTCAGAGGCACGGGGGTGAGACACCGCCAACTTTCTGACTTGGGGCAGCTACTGAGAATTTCTCAATCAAAATCTCAATAATTGATTTTTTGGGCCATTCGAACCCAGGACCTCATGATCAGCAGTCGCACTACTAGAACCACTACACCAACGAGGCAGTCAATATAAATACATAGTAGTTATACAAGTCACTCCGATTGACCCCTGAAACTCTTTAAATACAATGTAAAATAAAATATTATATTGTAAATTAATGTTCAAAAAAAGTCCCGCTGGGTTTCTTGCTGGTTCTTCCCAGTATTGGATTTTTCCGAAATCCTTAATAAAAGTTTTACTAGCCAAACAAATTTGACCAATTTACTCACCGGCCTTCGAAGTCGAAGTCGACGGTGAAGTTCTGGAAGATGTCCATGTGGGCAGAGTGTGCTATGGTCGACATGTTGGGTGTCTGGCCCTTGGCCCTAATGTGTGCGATCGCTTGAGTGCCCACGTACAGGACTACCGCATTCATCAACTGGCTGTTGTATCTGCGACCGGGTTCGTTAACCACCTAAATGAGACATTTATCATCATCAATACTTATATCACCAACTACGATACCCTCACTTGTTTGAAGACAAATTGATTTTAAAATCATTCTTAAGTCGAATCTAATACAGATATACAATTTAAAAAAAAAACTAAAATCGTCAGCATAAAAAATTAGAATATCTATATGGAATAGTACATAGTTAAAAAGCAAGCATTTATTTAATATTGACAATCAGTTATAACTCTAACGTGAAAAATACGTTTAATATCTATGAATAACTTTAATGTTAAAATTTAAGCAAATAAAATGCATGCATATTATATAAATGAATTTTATTGTACTGAGTGTGACTTACCTCACAAGCTTACCTGACTCTCATACAATGTATTACCTTATATGTCTGATTAAAAACCCATAAAACAATAAAAATATTTAAAGTTCAGTTGTATGCTATGACATAAAAACATAATTTATCTAGACCTAGCTAATAAACCTAATACATCACAGTGGCGCCCCCTAACATTCTCACTCAGTATTTCTAGCTCGTTAACTTGGATGCACTTATAGTACACTACAGCTTAACATGGTAGTGGTATCACTCTTTATTTACTACTATTTTGACAAGTAACTGTTAAAATTCTGTATTTATTTAAAAAATTGTTTACAACCACTTCATTGACCTATATTTATCAATTTATTATACTACTACTATATTTGTTCAATTTTTAAGTTACTTACGATTACAGCCTTAAGTCCACAGCTGAACACAGGCCCCCCCCCCTATAGAATGCCTCATAGAGGGGATGTTGCCACGCTTAGTTGACACACTTGGGGAGCGGGTTGTCAACCGCAGTTTTATTAGTTTTGAGTTGTTATCAAAAAGATGCCCCTGCCTGTTTCAATTTCCCTCTGTCGCCTCTTACGACTTCCACGAGACGATATGGAGTCGTGCATGTTCTTACCGCCATGGTTATATTACGTATTGGTTATATAACTCAGTGATTACTAGTAGAAATCATCCAATCAACTGCTTACCACTGCTTGTTGGAGGAGATCCAGTCACTTCTCTTAATTATAGTAAAAATGTATTATAGTATTTATAAATATAATATAGCTATAATTGTATCCGCGTTTAGTATTGATAAATGTGATTAATTTTTCCAATGAACATACACTAACTATACTTTATACGACTTACTACTATTAATGTTAATCTTATATATCTTATACTAATTGTTGAATAAGGCATACCACTCCAGAAAATATCTTACTTATAGAAAATTTCAGATACATTGTAATAAACTCACTATTCAACTAAATAATTTTAACAGAATATATGTACAACCATAGTTCTTACTGTACACTACAAACTAAATTCAATATATAAATGAATATATAATAATATTATTTAATATATATACATCATTCCCACACTAAATAGTAAAATTCCTCTTATATCTAATTGCAAAATATAGCTAGCTTGTTAATCTAGACTAACTAAATCTAAACCTAAATTAAATTTAACTCATTTGTGCCTAAACAAAATCATTAATAAAATACGTTAATAATAATATACCTTTTTGTTTGAAATACATACTTGTCATATTAACAATCCAACAAACTAAATTCGTAAGCATTGCTTACTAATTAAATTAAAAAATACTAATTAAGATTTAATTAAAGTAAATTTATATAGTAACAACTACTAACTAACAATAGTAAAACTACTAACCAACATATAGCCGCCTTTACAAGTATTTCTTAATCTAACTTAAAGTCTATCTCATTTATATGTTAATTATCTACATTATTAAATATTAAATAAAACTTACTAATAGGTAGCAGGTTCTACTAAGACTAGCTATATAGGTAGTTGCTGCCCTAGGTACATACCTACCTAAAAAAATACTCGTTAACTAGGTATTAGCCGTCCTAGGTACCTACCTAACTGGAAACTTATATAAATAATAACCAAAAATTTTTAAATTTAAATAATGTACACCTTATAACTGTACTTCACGCATATACAAATGTTTGGAAGATTGGTGTAAACCCTAAATAGTTGAATGATAGTTGGAAATTACCACAGGCTTGACATTTTAAAGGCAATAGCATTAGAAAAATGTGTAAAAATAGGGGTTCTGATTAGTTCTGTAACATTTTACGGCTGTTATGGTGAAATGTTACAGTGTGAGATAATATTGAAGATATCAAAACAAATCAATGGCGCAAGAGAATCCCTTACTCCATCATAGTTTTCCGTGGTTGTCGTAAGAATTTACATAAGGAAACTGAAACAGGATATGGTGAACAAGATATGGAAGGAAGCAACTTCCTCATAACAGCTCAAAATAATTAAAAAAAACTGCGGGTGCCAATCCGGCTGCCAAATATGGCATTCATGGCAAATATTCCCCCTATGAATCGAGGAGGGGTCATTTGAGCTAAACATAATATTTAGGTACAGAAAGTGACCATCAGAACAGTTTTTACTTACAATATGGCAGTAACTAACTGTAATCATAACTGATAAAGTGCAATTGTTTAGCTGAACTATCCTATGAACTATTATTTTATTAAAGAAATATAAAGTAATTATGAATCTTACAATACAAGCCTAATTTCAGCTATTATTGGCCACAAATATATAAAAAGAAAATAATTACATTTTCTACCCTGTGTTCAAATTAATATATATAAATAACAAAATACTAAAACTATCATATTTCACTGAAAATAATGTTTCTGAAAGCTCTGCTACACTTGATATTTTTAGCCACAAATTGCATCTTAAAATGTGCGTTAGATTTAAAGGATGCTATGAGCAAGCTGTTAGTAAAACAACTGCTGGGTCTATACTTACGTGATTTACAGACATACCTGCATGTTGCTTCTTAGCTCTGACAGGAACGTGACGGGCGCCCTAGCCTTCAGGTAAGCGTCCAAATCCTTCTTGAACTGGGACGAGGGTATGATTGTTGCGTAGTTGATAACCGCTCGAGGAGGCAACGCAATCTCTGCTAGCAAGTCCACTTTCAGATTCGGTGTGAACGGGTCCGGGAGTCTCATGTTCCGCGGGAACGCGGACAGGATTAAGTTTCTCATTTGTATGCAGTTGGGGGGTATCTCATCGCAGAAGCCGTAGTGATAGTCGCAAAGGAACTCGGGAAAGTCATGAAGCAGGACAAGGAGTACTTTAAGGGTGCCCTTGTACAGCATCATAACTGGTGCTGCTAGCTCGGTGTTCCTTAGGAACGGATCCAGGAATTTGAACAGGTCTATGAGCAGCGTTGAATACATTCCCCAGCCCTGGATGAAACAATGGTATAACTTTAAGGCAATGTTTGTGTCAATGTGTTTAGCAATAGCTGTGGATGGAAAAGTTAGTAAATACATTAAAATTACAGTTATATTGTTATTTAAAAAGTAAATGTCGAAAAAAAAGATATATGTAGCACCAAAAAACAAAAGAAAAAACTATAACCATGAAAATTTTAAAACATGTTCGGATAATTTTTCTTCAAATTGGTAATATACAAAGATTTTTTTATTTACTTTAGATTTGCTTCTAGTATATACTGGTTGTATATTAAAGTCTAAATGTAATAAAAAATTTACGGTTGCAAGATAAAACTTTTAAAGTAAGAAAATATCTTTTACTGGTATTATTTATCTAATTAAATTTTAAGCATAAGTTGGATCACCAATGTTTGAACTAATTTATTTAATCTCAATTAAAACTAGTTAAACATGTAATACCTGGTCATAAATATAACATTATACTTTACATTAACAAAAATATATATATATATATATATATATATATATATATATATATATATATATATATATATAAATGGTTACGCGGAAAACGATTAGTGTATTTTAATTTTATTCGAGGGTATATTGTGCCAAGTGTCCTTCCTTTGACCTATTGTCCCTTCCGTAAACACACTGAGAGGGGAAAGAGGAGAGGCTAGAAGGTGGCGTGATTCTTTCGACCAATGAGAAGCGCGCCCGACCGAGATGCATTGATAGGAAAGCCGAAGCAATATAAGCTCGCGCGCTGCCCTCGAGTCCTCTCTTGCCCACGCGCCGCTAGTCTGAACCGCACAAACTTGGAGCAGTCGCGCTCCAGAAGTAACCCACCAAAACAACGACGAAGTCGCACCCTAAGTGTGTCTATAAAACCACACCGCTAATAATATAATTGTCAAACAAGAAAAGGCAAAAAACGGAACCATTCGGTCCGCCATCTTGTGAGCAGAAGAAGCCCCTTCCATCGAACATCTCGGAGCGGACCATCCGCCCGGAGAACCCGCCCCACATTAAAAAAAACCAAAAAACCAAAATAAAATATATATATATGAGATCGGGAAAAAGTTTATTCGTATTTTATATACAAATCCAAGACTTTTTTTAAAGTTTAGTTTCATTTAATTATATGTCCCATATTGTTCGATAACTTGTTGCCATCTTTAAGGTAGTGTACATAATCCCATGACGTAGACATTTTAAGATGTTTGATCAAAAAAAAGGCGACAAGTAGTTTTGACAGTCCTCTCCTGATGTTAACCTAACACTACCCGAAGAATTCTGAAGAGACCGAAACAGGTGAAAATCTGGGGGTGCAAGGTCATGACTATATATGGTCGATGCATTAACACTTCCCAATCAAGCTCTCTCAATTTTTGTTGAGTGGCCAAAGATGTGTGTGGTCAGGCGTTATCATGATGAAAGACCACTCCTTTTCTGATGTTCCATTTCGGCCGTCGTTCTCTCAATATTTTGTTTGAGTCTTACTAGTTCTTGGCAGTAAGATCCGAATCGATGGTTTTGCTCGGCGGTAAACGCTCATAATTAACAATGCATTTCCAATCAAACAATCCCTCTATACACACATAATTGCCTTATTGCGTGTTAATCCAGGTTTCGTTACAGTCTGAGCTTGACTAGCCTTTGAACATGATCTTTTTCGCACGTTCTTGTCGTAAGTGATCCACTTTTCATCATCAGAGATCAATCTTTTCAAAAATGGTTCAGTTTCATTAACTTTCAATAGATAATTGCAAATGAGTACATGATTCATTAGATTTCTTTCAGCGAGCTCGTATCATACACAAATATGGAGCTTTTTTGTAAAGCCAGACTTTTCGAAATGGATCAAAAATGTTTTTTGATCAATTCTCAATTCCTCGGCTATATCGTTAATGGGCGGTTTCACAATTTTTTGCGTGTCGAGTTTTCGCTATGTCCCATGACTTAAGATAGTTAGTACCTGCCCAGGATAAATTTATTTTACACTATGTATATCTATTTGGGTAGCTTAGTATTTTTTTACACTCGTACGCATAAAAAGTTGGGGTGAGGAGATAAATGGAATTGTTAAAATAATTTTAAAACCATTATGATACAGCTTTTTATGATGTCCCATACCCAGGCTATGGAAATTAATACCGTTTTTCTTGGCTTTTTACTCATAGGGAATACAACTAGCACATATCATTTTAAACATAAGATTATCATTTAATCAAAAATTATAGCAGTATAGATCATAAGGTTTGAGAATTTAAATAATATGTCTTTAAAGTTTAGGTCGATAATCTGGCCATGGTGGAAAACTCCATTCCTAAACCAAGATTTGTTACGTACAAAAACTAAAATAAACTACCATATTGGTTTTTATTTTATCGGTAGCAACACATATTTACAACGAAATAGCAACCGCTATTTTTTTTAAGTCATTCGAGCGCTACGAATGTTGGAGTAGTGAGTGTCAGGCGATTGCATTTTAAAAGTTCCACGATCCGAAACCGAAATTAATGGTGAGTTAAACTTGTTTTAATTGTACTATTATTTTACAAGAATATAGATATATTACTAAACCCAGTTTTCAAATTTGGAAATCAGAATAGTTAGTAGAATTGTAATGAAACTTTCATATGTTGTGCAAGTGTTGATACCGTTACCTCCACTCCGAAACTTTATTGACGGTTTCGTAGAAGCGGAACAAAACATGTAACGGAATGGAAACCTAAAGCTTGGTTTACATACCTGCAGTAATTAATATATTTAATTTATATAAGTACCTACCATTTTTTTATAATCTACTGGAACCGCTTTCAATAATAACATATTTAATTGTTTACTTGTTAAGTAAGGTTTATATCACCTTCCTCTACCACCACCTTCACTGCTGGCCGTATGAGGACGCTCAAAGTCGCTCAGCGAGCTATGGAGAGGGCTATGCTCGGAGTTTCTCTGCGTGATAAACTTAGAAATGAGGATATTCGCAGTAGAACCAGAGTGACCGACATAGCCCAACGGATTAGTAAGCTGAAGTGGCAATGGGCCGGCCGTATAGCTCGAAGAACCGACAACCGTTGGGGAAAAAAGGTTCTCGAGTGGCAGCCTCGTACCGGTAGACGAAGTGTAAGGTGACTCCCCACTAGATGGAGTGACGACCTGGTAAGACATGCAGGAAGTCGATGGATGCAGGTGGCTCAGGACCGTGCTTTGTGGCATACCTTGGGGGAGGCCTATGTTCAGCAGTGGACTTGTAAAGGGCTGTAATGATGAATGATGATGATGATGATAACGTAATCAAACACTAAAGTGTTATGGCACTGATTCTAATTTTGTAAACTTAAATTTAGAAACATTTAAAAATAATTACGCAAATAAAGATCATTATCATCTTTAATTAAATATTTAAATTACAACAAAGCGCTGACGCCCTTATATTATTTCTAATATTCATTAGTAACAAGTGCTTTTTTTATAGATGGCTCTGACCCCGGCGGAAAAAATGAAAAGATACAGGGAGAAGTTGAAAAATATGAAGAGTATAAAAAGAAAGATTTCCAAAGAATTAGTTAATGTTATGTTAAAGTAGAAAATTTTGTAGTTAACCGAACAAGAGAAAGAGCAAAGACGAAAATTGTGGCGAAAACAGAAAAGAAAACAAAAAGTATACAAAGAAGCTTTAAATGTGCCACAAGCATCCATATCTAATGAAACACCTACTAAACGCTGTAAAAATGAAACGAACAGAGAAACTCTCAAGAACAAATTAATAGTTCGTAAATACTAAAACGTTTTCTTATTTTGTACGGACATGTGCGTAGTAGACTTCCCTCGTAGACTTGTTACAAACTATGTGTAATTAAAGATTCCCCGATTTTTGCGGGCGGAATTTTAGGAAGTGTAAACGTAAAAAAAATGGGTACATTTTTCTTCCTACATGTAAACTATTCTTTACAGTTCCATACCGAAACTTTACTATTCCTTTCGGTGACTGTCCTATTTTTGTTGATTACTTAATTTTATTTGTATTACTTTATTAATTAACGTGGAGAGACATTTTTTTTTTGTTAATCTTAAGAAGACTATTATTTGTTGTTTATTTTAAAATAATAATAATTGTATTTTTTCGAAAGGCTTCGTAATTTTGTCGATAAAAATAGTGTTACAGCTGGTCAAATAGTAACGTAATGGAAATAAAGACTGAATTAATTAAAGTTTGTTATTTTTGTTTATTATAATTTTGTTCTATTTTATACAAATACAGTTCTTAAGACACATTAAAAACTGCTAACAATTTCAAAGTGTGTTTGATTTGGTAAAACCACCATGCTTATTTGGTAACGGAATGGAGCGTTATTTATTATCTGGGAGGATAAATACTAATAAAATATTACTAAAAAGCAAATTATGAACCCAAAAATCTCCATATCGTTTATTAAAATATGTAATGGATCGATCCTTTGCAAAAATTATACCGGGTTCCGATAAAAATAAAATAATGTTATTTTTTATCACTGTCACATTTTTGTGAAACCACCCAAATACTAATACGCCGATCTTGCTCCACTTTTACAAAAATTGCATCTACTTTATCCTTATGAGGGCGACCAGAGCGAGCTGCTTCTTTGACATCAAAATTCTAAAATTGCTACTCTTACAGATACTTTATTAGGTCCATAAACGCCACAATTTTTTTTCGCGGCTTTAGTCGTATGATCCTCTTTTTTGTAATAAAACTTTAGCATGTATAGAATTTCGTTTTGTTTGTTTTTTACTTTTTATTTTTCTTTTAACATAAAACATCATATGGGTTTAAATAACAGAGGCAGAAACTGAGATATTGCATAGTGAATTGTGGTAGTCTTTTCTCTAATATTGAAGCGTTTAAATTTTACGGCCAAGTATTAGATGTACGCTATATAGTTCGTAGTGACTAATCAAATAAATGAATAATAAAAAAATTAACTTGCTAGTAAAGTTAAAATATAAAAGAAAATACAAAACAAAGAATATAATAGAAATTTGTTCTAGGTAAGAATAGGAAGATACCTTCTGCTGAGGTGTGACGGCTAGCACTCTATTGATGAAAGCCCGATGCGCGACTAGTTCTAACCAGGCGTAGCAGAAACCTGGGGCCACACTAGGCCGAATGATGCGCAACGTATGACAGAATGCAGTTAGAACCTGTAAAGAATAATAGAATATTTTTTTTTAAATATGTGTATATGGTATTGATGTAATTCAGTCTCATATATTACACAATAAGGAGTTAATATTTATTACAAATGATACTTATCACTTAGTAACTTTTTACGGGCACTGCAAATAAAACTTTAAGTAGGTGTAAACAAGTTTATAGGACAACATAAAGTTAAGGATATTTCAAATTCTTAGCAGGAAAACATAATATAAAAAAAATTATTACGTATTTAAATATTTGTCTGTTGTATTAAAACAATTGTCTGCCACTATTAATTGATATGATTATATTGTTAATGATTGTAATTTTTTTATATGATTACCTGATAGTTCATAGATTCTAAGACAGGTTCAGCCATATTCATGTCGAGGAACAGGATCAGCAAGAGGCGATGGTAAGGAAGCTGCTGGAAATTGGCACCGGGCTCATCGTGATCTTGTAGGAGACAGCCAGCGATTATCCCCAAGATCTGTACACATTTTGGCAATGAAATATTTCATATGCAACTGCGTGTGCATGTAGCAAAAATAATAATAATGTATAATATCTATTAGTAATCTTAATGCACCTAGACATACCTTGTTCAAAAGATTGAGTTTGGGTGTTGGGTTGCCACCGTCTGCCGTGTTCTTGATAAGTAGAGAAACTAGTTTTATGAAGGAGTCACACATTGTGTAGTACTTCTCCCTCTTTGGAGGTGTTGGGGGAGGATTCAACCTCTCTTCGTTGAGCTGCTGGTAGACGTTTTCGATGCACATCTGCGTTGCGATGCGGAAGAATCTCGTGATCATGTCATCAGACTTCAATATACCGTTCATGTTCATTCGGTGAACGTAAATGTTGAAGTTCTGTCCAATCTCAATCTCGGTCAGTGGACTGAGGAGTACATTTCTCCATTCCCGGAGAAGGTTCTCGGTTTTCTCTTGAAGACCGGGCGGGTCGTCGTATTCACGTGCCTGTAAGAAATGTTATATTAAGTTTAGTGTGAATGTAGAATGGCTTGTGAAATGGAACCAACAAATTGAGTTGGTAATTTGATATGTTTAATACTATGTTAACCGCTATTATTGCTAACTATAATTAATCACTTTCTATGCTTGCTTGGGCTTAGCACAGTTCTATTAAATATAACAATTAGACCATTATTTCTTCCCTTAATATATAAGATTTAGATCCATGATTCAGTACAATATAGGTTTGTAAATAAAATTGCACGACTTACAACGCGCGAGCGTGTATTATTGTATTGTATAATTGGGAGTGTTTTACTCTCGACATGACGCTATGTGACGATTTTGCAATATAAAATTGTGAGTATGTCCCAATTTAAACACCAAATCGATGAAGCAGGGACGTTTTGAAAACTAGATTTATAAAGTGATCGTATTTTTTACAATTTGATTAGTTATATTTAAAAAATATGTAGTTAAATAGTTATTCTTTACGTTTCAAAAAAGTATACGCGATGAAATTAAATAAATCTTTCCGAATAAATTTTCATTTATCCTCAGGATGATCCTTATTTTTTTTTCATCAAAATTAAATGAAATTTTTCTGAAAAGGTGTGCACTTTTGAATTTTCCAAACTATTTTAAGTATAATTGTAACTATATGCCAGTAACGATAATTTATATCGTTATACCATATTTATATTATATACGAGTGTGGCCTCAATTTTGTTAAAGTCATCTTTAGATCAGACTAGAAAATAAGGACATTTTTCTTTTTACTATCGGCATAATGTAAACATTTTATCATATACCTCTTATAAATCACCAGTGCCAGCAGACACCTATAAAATAATTATTGTAATAATCATAGTTTATAGTTTAAGAGATCCCACTCACACAAGCCAGAAAATTATTATGTGGAGAGCTACATATAGTTAAATAATTTAAAACCAATTTACACACTGACACTTACTCTAACTTGCAACATTCCAGAATGTATATGCGCTGTGGGTCCCAAAGGCATTCTCTCTCCAAGGTAAGCACTCGGGTCCTGATTTATTCTTAAGGTTTCGATAAGAGTTGCTAGCCCTTCGGGGGGCGGTTGTCTGGAGTGGGACATAATGCGCACAAGGGTCTCAGTAGTGTGGTAAAGATCGGATTCGTTCACATAAATATTATTTCTGTCATCGACCAGGTAGAGTTGGACGAGCTGCATAGCGAAAGCCACTGCCATATAGTTGTTACCGTTGTCCATTAGATGCGCAAGCGCAAGATCGTACTGAAAGAAGAATAATAGGATAATTGAAATCATATATAGGTCACCACCAATTATCATAGGATAAGATCTAGCTAAAACTTATATACGACAATATGAAAGTATATATAGTCTTACAATACAAAAATAAGCAAATTCAGTTATTTAACTTTAGTAATACTGTGTAAAATACAATTTTAATCCTTTCTTAAAAAAGGTTACAAATAAATGATTAAATTAAATATATAGGAAATTAACTCAAGATTTATTTTGTCGATCACAATATAAAAAATAAAAACACAATATAAAAAATATGTAAAACATTCTAAATTATTTGAGAATTGTGTTTTTATTGTGATTGTGAGTACAGTACAAACTAAACCATGTATAAAATTATGCGATTACCGGTTTTTAGAAGCACTCACCTGAGGCAAATTAATGAGATGATTTCTAATCAAGCAGTCGACAGCTTCGATGTTGTATCTAAGCTCATCTCTGCACTCGGTGAGGCAGCAAGTGATCTGCTTCGTAGTCCACACGTGGCCGTAGACCCTGGCGTCTTCGAGGAGCTTGAGGACTCGAAGGTGAATGTCTCGGTATCTGGTCATCATCTCAACGTGCTCCGTGTTGGCGCCAGGTTGGGCGATGTGACCATCAAGAAGGCCTTCTACTGACTGTTGGGAGAAATTGTCAAAACATGTCAGAAAATAATTTTAAATGTAATATGTCAGATAATAATGTAAAAATTATAATGCCTTTTGCTGGTACAGAAAATATATAATGAGTAAAATACGTAATCTATATATATATATATATATATATATATATATATATATATATATATATATATATATATAAATAGAATTGTAAAATATGTAAATCATAGGTGTTGTAAAAATCGATAAGTAAGTTATTGTTGGGGAAAATTTCCTAAACTTAACAAAGGCTACTAAAGTTTAAGATGCCATTAAGTGTCATGGTGTCACAGTCACTTTGACTTAAAGTTAAGAGAGAGCACAATACTTAACGGCATCTTGAAATGGAGTTTGGATATTAGGGCATTAGAGTTAACATATAACCAATGTTCAGAAATGGACTTTGTGTTAAATAGTAATGATAAAAAAAAATTAAATACATAGAATAAAACATTCTTCTAGTATTACTGGTTGAAAATATTAGTAATAATGATATCCACAGCAGACCAAGAGTATCTAACAATGGATTAGTAAGCTGAAGTGGCAATGAGCTGACCATGTAGCTCAAAGGATTGACATTAGATAGATAGATGTTTATTTTCGTGGTAGAGCCACGCTGCAGCTATATCGTGGTTGTAGCATGAATGTGTCGGCTCGACCGAGGAACACAGAATACCAGCTTAAAATGGCAGCTTAATACTGCTGTGTTTCGTATGGTGAGTGTAGAGATCCAGAGACACTTTTTTACTGCAAACGAGGCATTTCATCTTAGTCCTCAGAGGTGACAACGCATCTGCGTTTTGATTCTTCATCGAGGATAAATGTAGATGTCTATGGGCCACAGCATCCACTTACCATCCGGTGGACTGTGTGCTTGTTTGTCACCCTCTTTCTATAAAAAAAGAAAACCAATTGCAAAGGAACATTCCCAAGTGGCAAACTGTGTTTGCAGTGTGGTCACCAATTCATTCCATGGATTCCATAAGAGACAACTATGGGAAATGCTAGAAAAAAAATGATTGGATTCCAAATGATGGTGGTAAAATCTATTCCAAATGAATGTATTAGATGTAAAATACATAGACTAAGGTAAAGCAAACTAAAATAATGTGAAAGGTCAATGAACAAACGTAAACTTTTATGGACCTATTATAGACCCATAAAAGGCTCAGTTAGTACGGTATAGGACGACCCTCACATTGATGGAGTGATAACCTGTTAAAATACACAGTGAAGTCTTGCGTGCATGTGACTCATGTTCATTTTTTGTGGCAAGCGGTGAGTAAGTTCATTAGTTGACTTTGATTGGCTGCAATAATGATGTTTGAAAATAGAAGATAATCTGTGGTACATACCCTCTGTAGCAAAGCGCATCCGGATACAATGTCACGGTTCCTTCTTGCAATGATGAGGCACTCAAGAAGGGTGTGCATGTTCGTTGCTTGCACAGCGAATGACTGCACAGACAGTGCGTTCGATAGGAACACCTCTGCAGCAGTGATCAAGGCTCCCATTTCATCAGTACCATACACTTGCGTAGGGTTCATGACCTGGCTGAATGTCAGCTGAGAGATCTGCTCTTGTGCCGACGGCTTGGGGATGAACATGCCAGCATCGCGCACTGGCATGAATCCGGGAATATTGCAGGCGAACTCTTCGTACACAGCAATCTGCATGTCCGTTGGGCCACCCACCCTCAAGCGCACTCTTTCCGGTATATTCTCAGTCTGGTACGTCAGGACGATCGGGTCATAGTACCTTCGGTTTTCGAGTCTCGCCTGTTTTCTAATCTCATAATCGTTCATTAGTCGTTTGTCGAGTTCAGGCAAAGCCTTTTCGACAGCCGTTTTCTGTATGAAAGCACACGCGAGTTCCATGTTTTCGGTTGCAAGAACCGCTGCGGCACTTTCCACTATATCCTTCTGCAAGGCAAGCTGTTAATTGATCAAAGGATTCCCACTAAGATAGTATTCACTACAGCCATAACTTAAACTAAGGCAATATGAAATAAATAGAAATCTTAAGATAATTTTACACCATGTAGTGGCAGTGTAAGTATATCCACTACCCCACATCATCCTGTGGGAGTCGCAAGAGGCTACAGAGGGAAACTGATACAGGAGATAGGCATAAGCCTCTGTCTGATAGATAACAACTAAAAATATGGATTGGACAATTTTTGTATAAATTCTATGAAATCCTCATATCAGTTTTCATGTCACATAACAAGATGTTACCTACGTCGATTTTGAATCATTGCGATAACTTCAGAATATCTTCGGTAGACATCAACTTCTCATATCATAGTAAAAAAGTCGCAGTGAAATTATTTCATCAGCTTGTTAAATTGACGTTTATACATTTAGTGAAACACAAGTTTTTAATTGAATACCTAAAGGAAAGCTTAGCCAAGTCACGTAACTGAATATCAGATGGCTAAATATCACCTTTAGCCATGGTCATGAATTTAGAAGATCTACTGTTAGAAATTATGTTTTAAATTTATTTAAGGGGTTATTTAAAATCAAATCCACATTTCCCGATGTAGAAGCTTGTCAAAATAAGCCATTATTTTAATAATGAAACTATATTTAGGTTATGACACTTCAATCAAATGGCAATAGGTTATTCGCGTCATTGTAAATTGACTAGGACAGGCATTTAATTAAATTAAAAGAACAATTTGCTTATAAACTATCTTAGAAATCTGTGTCCAGGGGCGCGAAATTTGTAGGCTGTTACTTTAACTTTACTGTTAGATATTCAATCAAATGATGGAGTTGAACTTATTGTCTAATAGTCCATTTTACAGATTGAACATCATCAATAATATTTTAATGCTTAAGATGGTCCTCCTAAATGCAGAATACCTAAATAATATATTTTACCTTCCTAGCATCTATTGCTATGGTCGCTTCGATGATACGCATACATTCCACCTGAAAGACTGTGTTATGGGTACCCAGCGGTGTACATATGTGGATATTGAGGTCTTCAGAGAAAGTTCCAGGTCCTACACCTTCATTTGTGTTAGAAACATCCGTGAAAACTCTAAGCTCTTTTGGGTATAATCCCTCCGGCTGACCGGTTTCATTTAATTGTATCTTATACTTCTTATCAAATCAAGTTGTTTTGGGATCTTATGGACGCAACACACAGGGTCAGTTAAAATGATCAGTAGAACTGATGTACATCCAAACACTAACTGTGATTGTGGAATCTTAAGTTGAAATTATCAACTGACGGCAACCCACGGATTTTTCGGTCGCACTGTCAGTTGAAACTGCTCGGCCGAACTGCCGTAAATCCAAAAACTGATCGTGAGTGCGAAATCTTCAGTTGAAATTTTTAACTGATGGTACTCCACGGAGTTTCTCATATCCAATGAAATTTCTCGTAATTAAACATGTTGAGCAAAAGTATATTGTAATAAACAAATATTACAATATACATATTATGTCCCTTAATGGGAAAAAATATTGTGTTTTATAAGTTTTTTCTGTTTCTTCCAAAAGGAATTTATTCATTTCAGGACAAAATATGTATTAAACATAATTAAAGTTTGCGTAGTCATTGGTATTTTAATTAAAAAAAAAAATATTTAATCAAGAAAAAGGCTGATGACTTAAAATAATGTTACATTGGTATAGCAGTCTTATACTCTATGGGATAATTATTAAAGACATGAAAAAAAATGCTGAAACATGGATTGTAATAAGATAATTAGGATTTATCAGCAAAGGAGTTTTAATCAACTGACAACAATTTGAAATTGAAATAACCAATTAATATTTTATTACCAGCTGGTTTTTAGCCTTGAAGTTTGTTTGATTTATTTCCAATATCATGCCTATTTCTGCCAAGAAGCAGAAGTCCATCTGGTATGCTACAGTAGGAAAAAAGAGCCTGTTTAATTAAAGGCTGTGAGACATCATTCTATTGTTAAGGTCAATCAACAACATATTTGTTGCCTTTTATTATTTTAAGTTGGTTGGTTGGTTCAGGGGCAGCAGTGGCCACTTTCATCAGGTGGAATGTTCTTATTTGTAATATTATAAAGAATTATAATTATGTTAACTATTTTACAAAACAATGTATTGTTAATGATTTTTACCTGTTGTGGCGTCGCAGGCATCAAAGCTGTGATGAACGCTGCCTTTAGGTTGGTGCTGATGGTGCTGATGATCTGCTCCCGGCAAGTGATCATGGCCATCCCAGCCGTCAAGTTGCGCATCATGTGGTGAGCGCAAGTGCGCATACGAACCTCGTCCGGATCGAATGCAAAATCTTTCCTAATGATCTGTTCACAAGTGGTCAGAGCATACTTGATGGACCTATCCACAACTGGGTGAATCCACTCTTGAATCGATCTCTCGATGGCCGGTTTGACGAACTGCTTCAAATGCGGATAATTCTGGAATAGTATTATGTGGGGGTTGAAACAAATCTTCTGTCCAAACGCAGATGTGGATGAGACATTCACATCGAGGTAGTTGAACCTGGGCTCGGGGATCCCGAGCACTCCCATTAAGCCAGGATCATTTACGAGCCCACTCGTGGGCGTGGGTGCCACCACACTTATATCCTCGGCGGGTATCATTGGTGGCTGTGGTGGCATCATTTGTATTTGTGGTGTCTGCACTATTGCCTGATTAACAGGTATTACATTAGCGGGCTCTTTATTTAATTTGGGTTGGGACAGCTGGAATTCTATCAACCTTTGCTTCTCCGGATCCTTCAAATATAAAGATGGTTTAAGGTCTGTTAAATCCAGACTTAGGTTTTTACAAAGCACTTCTATTTCAAACTTTAAATTCAATTTCAAATCAGGTTCCTGATGCAGTTCAGCCAATACGTTCATCAGTGCCATAGTCCAAGGGTTCGGCGGCTTAAATACAACGCTCTTTGCGCAAGATTCCAGGACTTTGGCCACAAATGGCACGACATAAAGCAACTCTTGCTGGCCTTTGTGATAAGCTTCAAGTAGCAGTGCTTTGAGGTCTATGTCTACATGAAGGATTGGTTGATTGCGTGCTAACGTTAGCATGCCTAACCAGTGACCAAGGTTTTTCAATAAAGAACGGTCAGAAAAGTTAGCTATGCCTTTATCAGAGCGCAACAAAACTTTTATGTTCCGGTAGGTCTCTTTCGTCACCATCTTGTTAACGTCTCGTATCTTGAGAACGTCGAGAAAGTTGGAGTAAAGCGCGTGGAAGTTCAGCTCGATAGACGCTCTCTTCATGACGAGGTATTGTGACAGCCATGGGTAGTACTCATCGGTGATTATTTCCTTGAGCTCCTCGCATTTCGTTTGCAGGTTTAGCTGGCTCAGGTTATTGAAGATGAAAGCTGTCTTGTCCTGTATTGCTTCCGGAGGGGCGTTAATCTTCTCCTCCCTGTCGGTAGCCGTGAGTAGTGTGTCAATGTTTGTGGCGTTGGCAATAGATGGCCGGCTGCCTATGCCGCCAGTAACGCAGTTAGTAACTTTGGAGATGACGGAGATGGGATTCGGCGCGCCGACTACAGTCCTGTTAATGAACACTCACATTACTAATAATTCTGAATATAGACATGAGACTTCGTGGGGCAATGACTTAGCAATGAGTAGCAGCGCTGAGTCCCACTCGGTTCAAGTTTTTTATTTATTTTATTTTATTATTTTTATTTTATAGAATACGAGTGATAAACGAGCACACAGTCCACGTAATAGTAAGTGGATGCTATGGCCCATAGACATCTACATTTATGTATGGCCTACAAATAATTGTTCCCGGTCTGAATGTTTGTCGCCACTATACAGGAGAAAATCCTAGTACGCAGTTTTAAAAAAAAATAGACATCACAATGAACAGATAAAAATCATAAATACAGACTAGCATTTCAATATTTCTCATAGTGCTTAAAAGTAACTTAGTTTCATTTATGCATTAGTTTAGCAATTTAAAATGAGAAAAAATATAAATAAAGTACATTAGCCAATGTAGTGATGGTGTAAGAATATTCACTACTACGTTGCCTCACCTTACTACATGCCTTTTGGATGACGTAAGATGGGACATAGAAAAAATGAAATAGATGGGCAGGGTCATCGTCTTGATAACAAAACAAAATTATAAAAATTATTGTCGCCAACCGGCCTGCCAAACATGGCTGCTGTGGCATGCCCCTTCCTTGAGCCAATCTAGGGGGGAGGGGTCTATGTTCAACAGTGGACTTTTACAAGCTGTTAAAGTACATTATTAATAAGCTCACACAAACTTAAACCACAACATAACATCTTTTTAAATTTTAAACCGGTTAAGCCCGTCAAAACACCATCTCTCAAATTTAGTTGTTAAAGATCCAAAATGCTATGTGCTAGTTTAGGTATAAATGGCTATTAAAAAAAATGTACCTGTATGGTGCTGAAACTGTTACAACAGCACTCTGATTCAATATGGCGGCTAGACTCGTAGGCAAAACTGCACCTTGCGGCTTAGTAGGCGGCTCTTGACTCTGCAGTCCATATTCGATGTACTCAATCAGGTGAGGAGGGAATTCACTAAAATGCGGTATAGCCCTAACATGCTCGCAGTACTTATGGTAGTCTTTCAAACGCGACTTGAACCTATCAAGAGCAGCTATACCAAAGTAATACATCTTAGAGCCCTCCGGTTTACGCAGAGCGTCGAGAACAAATCGTAAAGCCAAGCCCAGCGAAACATAACTAGGAACTAAACCTTTCTCAATAATACCGCCGAATAGTTGCGCGGTTATGTGAAGCTCTTTGTCAGGATACTGAGGAAAGAATTTGTATTCTTCGAATAAATTTCTAAGCATACACGAGAATACTTCTCGCTCTCTCTTATTCGGAGAATCATGGAACTTCTTCAGCATTTCCAGCACCTCGTCTATAGACAGAGTAGGATGTGGTGGATGGTTGTAGATTCGCTGGAAGTATCCATTTGCTTCATCCTCAATTTCCTTTGAAACATTATGCATTATTTCAGGAAAGTGAATGGGATCTGGTATACGGGGTTTGTCCATGGCAGGGACTTGAGCCATACGAGTCAAAGCACCCATATTAGCGACATTAGCATTATGTGGCAGTGACATCATTGGGAATGGGCTGTTGGGCCCTGGCCCCATCAGTCGTGATGGAGATCCCGGGGTGGTAACTAAAGGTCCTAATGTTCCGGGCATTGCGAACGCTGTGTTCGCTGGCGCGCCTAAGCTCATGTTCGCGACGTTCGGCGTCAGATTGGTAATCGAATCGACATGCGGTGTAAAAAGCTGCCCGCCTAAGCCAGCCGGATTGAAAGGTGTCTCTATGACCCGTGTATGGGGTCGGGCAATGCCCACAATGCTCTGCCTAGTCTTACTCAGTATCAGCGTTTGGCAGTTTGCTATCACATTGTAAATTGCTTCTTGCAACTCTTGTAGCACGTTCGGTATGCACAGTTGCAGGCATGTCAGCATAGTGGCGATTGTCTCGTGGGGCAATTGTGCTGCTTTGGGTAGCTGCTCATCGGGTCCTTTTCCTATGACCTGTGGACATCTCCTCTGCAGGAACTTCACCATGGCGGACACGAAAGTTTCGCCGTGATCTCTAATTTTGTCTGTCAGCCATTTATCCAGCTTTAAATATTCTCTACGAGATGCTAAACACGCCAAATCGATGACGAAGGGGAATGACTGAACATTCAGCAATAATGATAACGCCTTCAGATCTTGTGCTACATCCAAAATTCTGGATAATTTGGACTGGTCACTGTCGCCGCGTATATACCATTCGGCCATGGCATGCATGATAATCGGTTTTATGTTTGGGTTCTGCGAGTGCCAGGCATGTTGTAAAATGATTCCAGAGTTGGGGTGGTTGCCCAGGAATATGGGTATCAACGTTGACAGCAACTCCTGCCGGAACACAGTTATTGGTGGACTTATTTGAAGTAAGGCAAGCATCAGTATATCAGGGCAATGCTGTAATGGAAACTTGAACAGTTCATGAACTTGCATGTAATATCCTCGCTCTGAAGCATATAATAATAATTCTACAAGATAGAGACATCGCCATGTTGCAATTTCCTTATTGTCTGTTTCAGGTGGTGACTTTAGTATGTCAATAGATACTGGATGGAAGGGATAGTCCGCAATGCTGAAGATGTCTGGATATTTCAGAATGTTTGTGATCAAGCTCATCTGTCCTTCCAAATTAGTCCATCTTCTACATAGGTATTCAACTGGGAATATATTAGTCGGATAGCCCGCGCTTTGCAGCCCCAAGCGCAAAATCGTAAAGAGCAAACTCAGTCCCTGTCTATCCGGAACAATAAATTCTGGATGGTCCAGTTGTAAAATCACTTCTTTCCAGTTCAAATTGGAGGCCAGCTCTTTGAGCGTTTGTACAAAGACCTCCGCATTCCACGATTCCCCATGTCCGTGTGTGGGGTCTTTCTTGGGTTCGTGATTCATCCAGAAGTTCCCGGGTGTTTGTATTTGTGGGCCGTCTGGCAAGGTTGCGTGGTAGCGCACCATCATCGAAATGATTCGGGCGACATCGATCGCAGTGGGTTCACGCGCACCGAAATTGAGCATGTTGTTTTTGCATTCCTCCACAGACGACGTGAAAGTGTAGCCAATATCTCGGATGATTTCCGCAAGTGAGTTATCCATCATTGCGGCCGCCATGTCGTCAGCTGTGCTCATTTCCTCTAACGGCGTCCGCGTGTCGTCGGGATACAACAAGGGCGCTAAAACTATTGGGACTACTTCCCGTGGGAAGTCCACACGCAAACGTTGCAGAAACAAGTCCTTCGTCACAGGCGCAAGACGAAAGTTCTCGTACGCAAGGCTTGTTAGTAGAGTTTGCAAAACTTCAGGACTGCATTCCTGAAGGCCCGCACGTTCCGCCTGATGTCCACGTTCTGCGAAAAAAAATCCTGTAAAATATAACGCAATAACGATGCTATTCATTATTTATTTTTATTGATTCGTTTAAAAAATAAAAATACAACATATTTTCTGTCTTAAATATCTTCTTAGTGCTAGATAGTTTCCATTGTACATACCTGCATCTAAGTAGCACTGTACAAGGTCCAAAAACCTTTTCTTCAAATGTTGTTTAGCTAATGTAATGATCTCAGATTTCGACGAATGCCTCCTCAAAACTAATGAGAATGTGACATCTTCCGCTGTGGTCAACTTCAACAGTCTTGAAAGGCGATTGAGTAGTGTGTTAGAGGGTTTCAATGTCTGAAAGAAAAATAATAAAAACTACGTATTGTCATTTGATAACGTATGCCGTAATTGCACAGATAGTAGCATGCAGAAGGAACAGAATGTGCTTTGAAGTTTACTTGCTAAAACAATTTTAAAACACCTTCCATGCAGATGTCGATGCAACTACGGCGTAAGAAGATGGCTCATCAGCAAATGGATATGAAATGGACAGTGAAAAAAATCAACTATTTCCTGATATAGAATACAATTTCATGCACTATGTGTACATGAAGTCGACATTAAACAACAATCTCCATACAATTTGCAGTATTTTTGCCTTGAATTCAAATGCAAACTAATCCATTAAGATTTCATTAAAAAAGTGAAAGCAATACATCAGTAAAATGAATCGAGATTGGACGGTACATTGACGATAAAAACTAGTACCTACATATAATAACGGTGTCTGACGATTCTATGAGAATCTCCATGGCCTCCTTGGCCAGCTGCGGTCAACAAAATATATCTCTCACAAAATATCTTATAACCAAGTATTCACAATATTTACATAATCATTACTTGTTAAATAGACAGTTAAAAAGTAATAAATAAAAGTAATTTAAATAAATAAAAATACAAGAAAAACTTGCTAAATATGGAAAGTTTTAAAATTTAATGAAAGATAGTAAAAATTTACAAATAAGGGTCATAAGAATAAAGAAATTTGTGATAATTTAATACAGGGAATTTATATTCAATCTATATGAAACATTTTACGTTTGACCATAAAATGCTATATAATTAAAACAGAAAACACTCATTCCTGATGAATAAGTCTATGAATGACATTGTGTTTCAATAGATGTTGCGGTTATTTTAATGTTGTAAATAAAGTTACATGTGTCACTATCAGGAACAACTACAGGTAGGACAAAACAACATTGCACAAAATGACAGTTATTATTTAAACATTTAATTGTTCATAAAATGCAATATAGGTAATACTTTTACTAGTAAAATTATATTGAATACTTTAAATTATTGAATAATGTAAGGATTCATTTCAAGAAGAACATTTCACCATGTTCTGTAATGCATTCTTAATCTATATTTACTTCAAAAATGCACTTTTTACAGACAAAAACTGTACCGTGAAACCTGGCAACTTTGGCATTTTTGGAATGATTAAAAATTTTAGGATCAATTTTCCAACATAAAACGTACTCTCCGACAGGGCGTCAATGTAAAAGGTGACTCTATATTCTTCATAGATTTCGTATTTATTAGTGATTTAAACAAATACTAACATTAAATAGACAAAATACTCAAAAGTAGAAAATTGCAAAGTTAACCTCACTTTGTGGCCACTTTGCCATCGGAGTTTATTTATTTTTTATTTATTATAGAATAATGTTGACAAGCGAGCACACAGTCCACCTGATGGTAAGTGGATGCTGTTGCTCATAGACATCTACATCTATCCTCAATTAATAATCAAATGCAGATGCGTTGTCACCACTGAGGACTAAGATGTAATGGCTCGTTTCCAGTAAAAAACGGTCTCTGGATCTCTACACTCACCATACGACACATAGCAGCATCAGGCTGCTATTTTACGCTGGTATTCTGTGAGAGCGTGGTCCTTCCCCGGTCGAGCCGACCCATTCGTGCAACAACCATAATATAGCTGCAGCATGGCTCCACCACCGAGAGAGACAGGCTGAATATTCGTTTCATATTCGGTATTCGGCCTATTCGGCAGCTTTACCGATTATTCGTATAGCTATTTATAATATTATTATAGCTATAATATTCGTTAAAGTGGTACTCAAAGTGTCCTCTGTATTGAAATGTACGAATTGAGTAATGAAATGCGTTTCATAATTTTACTGTTGGAAGTATATTTTATTTGTGGTTTAAATCTACTTGCACAGCGTTAGGTTTTTGAGGCACTGTAGATTTATTTCCAATTATAGCAAATAGAAAGATTGGTAAATGTTTTTGGAATCAAACAAAGAAACATTACATTACATTAGTACATTGCACTTCACTTTGGTCGCCAACTTCTCTAAAACAAGTCCGATTAGTACATCTCCCGCCATTCATTTTTATCATATGATTATCAATTTCCAAATTTTGCCGGCAATTTGCTCAGTACTAGATGATGCAATAACTTATCAGGTGTGGCGGGGAGCGAGGGGCAGGGTACGACGCTAATCCCGCGCGTTTTACGGTAACAAGCTTCGACATAAATTGGTGATGTACCGATACCGAGGTGATCCTACTGAATTATGTTTAGCCGAATATTCGGTTCGGTAAAAGTTTTACCGAACTTTCGGCCGAATATTCGTTTTCTAAAATGTAAACCTCATTTGGTAAAATTGGCCTAAATGGCTGCTACGGTAAACATAATATATACATAGAACATCAAGTACAAAAACTTTTCTTTAATTCGTCGTAAATGGTTAAATACATAGGTTGAAAGTGACAACTCTTGGTTGTAACAAAACATTGCTAAGTTACCGTTACATCGTGGTATCACTAGTATGTTAACTTTGCCAAGTCAGTTTTATAGACAGCAGATCGTGTTAAAAACGAAATATTACATTTCTTAACCATTATTATTACGTTACAACAAAGATATAGATACCTTCATGCAGTATTTTAAAAAAATCAACAAATATTCTGGAGCACTTAAATCGTCGCTACGATTCCACGTTAAAATAAAATGCCAAAATTAACCTTCATGTAGCCATATCGAAAGCAATGCTGTCAATTAGTTATTATATTTTCATGCCAAAAAGGGATATCAATAGTAATTTTGTACCTATACATCGCTGATGGCAAAGTTAACTTCCATTGGTAAAGTTGCGAGACTTACTACATAAATCAATAATTTAAAATTTTCCATAACCTACTTCTCTCAAGAAACTAATAGCATACAAAGAAGAAAACAAATACTTCCCTTCATTAAACAAAAACAAATTTTAAAAATGAATGAAATTTAAAACTTACCTTCTGCAGTGAACGATTTGGGTGATCGACGGCCCGGCAAACAACAGTTGACTTGGCAGGGTGGTTTAACAGGGAAGCCAGATGTTGCGCGAGCAGTGACGCGTGGACGCTACTAACTGACGACCCCGTACGATCAGAGTCCCAAGAAGTTCTTGCTGCCTCCGTCAGCAAACACCTCAGTAACTGATTTTCTGCTTCCAAGCCATATAGATTGACAATCTGGTAGACGAAAAAGGTTACTTTATATAATTGATGAAAAATATATGACGTAAAATTTGTAATTTAAATATTTCTAAACTTACAATCCTATTAATCGTAAATTGGCACGCCATTTTCATTTAAAATGAACACTCACATTTTTCTATTCTACACGTATTACAATATTCAACAAAATGGTATAATACGCAATACAATATAAATGTTGCCAATATTAAATTTAGATAGTATAAAATAAATTTAGATTACATAAAATTTAAAGCGTAGCATAGTAGGGACGTATTGTTATATTGTCATAGTAAATATTGAAAATTTGAAAAATATTTGTGCCAATATGCATCCAAATATAGCATCAATACAAACATATTGCACACGTGATTATACCAAGGTCAGAAGTTAAAATTTTAAATCGCATATGTATAATTATAAATTGTTCCGAGTATTGTAAAAGGTTTCTGTAAGTATCTCACTTTCTAAAGCAAAGTAATCTTTTTCTCAGTTCAGCATATGCAGAAAGCTAAAAATAAAAATGTTACTTTATTATTTTTATCCAACTGCCCAAAAGGCAAAGGTTATGTTTTATTTGGGAGTATGTCCTGTGCCCTCCTATCCTAGCGTAGCGTGTCTAAATAAAAAGATTTTATTTATTTCACGAACCATATTATTTTACGGTAACAACACCCATATGAAGCTCCCAAGCGTAGTAATGGTAAATTGCATTCTGATAGAGCACTAGTTTCTTTTTATTATACAATTGAATCGCCTTGAAACATTTATGTTAAAATAATGTTATATTAACAGTTCCCTGTCCGTGAAATAGAAACAATAGTTAGACAATCGAAATGTTCATATATGATTTATGGGACAGGATAAGGATTAATAGATAATAATTTAAAGTGCACCATGCATTTGAGTTATTTAAAATAATCAGTTCGCACTTAGAATAAATTTTGAACATTAACAAAATTCGCACATAGAGTAAATTTTGAATATAAACCAAAAAATTTTTAATTACATGCACAATTCTGAAAATGTTACTTGTAACATATTAAGACAATTTGGTTAAAAAATTATTAAGCTTTAAAATTATATGATACTTAAAGACAAAATCATGTTATTATTTGTCAAACCGATACCGAGTTGTAATGGTGGCCACACACGGTCATTTAAACTGATCATTCCAAGTGATCAGTCCAAACTAAAACTGTAAAAAAATAAACTTATATGTAAAACTCCGATATTAATATATTAATAATGATCGATATATAGAAAATCCACTATTTAAAAAATATCAGTTCAACAACAGTTTTAGTTTGAACTGATCAGTTGAACTGACCATGTGTGGCGACATAAGAGCTGTGGGCAAACTGTATGTATTCGTTAACGAGTAACGGGTGCACTGCCCAACACGAAGTACGTTTTCGAAACTCTCAAATATTATTTTAAATTACTTACATTTGTCGTTATTAGAGAATGATTATAACATTATGAATATAGGAAACAAATAAATCACTGCATGCCAACTTATACCAGCGTAAAATAGCAACTTAATACAGCTGTGTTCCGATGGCGAGTGTAGAGATCCAGAGACCCCTTTTTACTGGTAATGAGGCATTCCATCTTAGTCCTCAGTGGTGACAACGCATCTGCATTTTGATTATTAATTGAGGATAAATGTAGATGTCTATGAGCAACAGCATCCACTTACCATCAGGTGGACTGTGTGCTCGCTTGTCAACCTTATTCTATAATAAATAAAACGCGGAACGGAAACCTTAAACATGGCGATTAAATTTATGGTGCGCTCAATAATCAATAAGCTTGTACCAAAGGTCAAAATTATTTTAACTGTGCGACCCGCCGCGGCATCGTCTGGGTAAGATCTAATAATGCGGCGTTGTTTAGATTAAAAAATAATCAAAGACCAATAAATAATCTCTTCGTTAAAATATAGCCCATATAGATAACTCCTGGCATTGATCACTGCCTGGTTCGTAAAGTTTTATAACAATCAGTCATTCTAAAGATTAGACCGGACAAACAGAGAGAAATACACAATTTTTTTTTGAAAACTCTTCAAAAAAATGTGTATTAATTTAATTTTAATTTATTATCATTTTTTAATGTCATGCAGACCCCCTCAGCTCACTATAAGGCAGTTATGTCGATATTACAAACAGACACTTCAATTATATTTATAAATACAGATTTTAAAACTTTTTACCGATTGTTGTTATATGTTAATTAGTTTATTTTTGTAAATTTATTTTGTAAAGCGTACATTTTGTCTGACCTGTTCGCCAAGCGAGCGCGCGACATGTTATACTCCCGTTCACTCGGGACCTTAATGGCGGGAAAATTTGTAAGTTAGAAAATTTTTTGCTATATTGAAAATTTTGCTATATTTTCACTTTGAGACAATATTTATGGATAAAACTTACAGGAATTCTTGTTGAATGTATAAACTATCGAATAAAATTATTTTTGGTTGCTAGAAATTGTAATAAAATACGTAAATTACCCTGTATAGCATAGTAGTAGTATAAACTTCAATTTTAGTGACAAAATTACTACTAATTTGAATTCTACACTTTTGTTTTTAGAGAAATTTATATGAAAATGTTTGGAAATATGTATATTTTTATCTTTTATGTGTTTCCATTCGTTACTCATACCAAAATATTAAAAAATAAAAAAAAATAATAATATTTTATCTGTGTGACATTTAGAACAATATTTCTAAAATAGTTTTGTGTGAATTTGAAATAAATACGTCAAGTTATTTGAAATATGTAAGAAAACTATTTTTACTTACATTTTACACTAAAAATAAATGAGAATTTGAAAAATAACACATTTATGACCCAACCGCCAAAATGGAGCTTCCGGATTTTGAAGTACTTTTGGCAATTTACTTTTCACTTTTTATACCACAAATTATATATCTACGTGTTTACTATATTACAAGGAATATAAAAAAGTATAATACTTTCGTTTTTAGTCCAGACGCAAATATAAAATTCTATAAAAAAGACGGAGCACCTTCATCAAAACGACACGTGGAACGCCGAAAGTTCAGAGTGATTTCTTTTTTTTTTTTCTAAGAAACATTGCCAAAAATTACTACTAAAACTAACTACTAAAAACTACTAAAACTGGGATATCGTATCATCGGTAAATAATCTTATATTAATTTTGTTACAATTAAATTATTATATAAACGAATTTTTGAAGTTTTATTTTACAGTTAGTTTAGTTACGTTACCAAGATTAGGCCAGGGCTGTATTCAGACCCTGAAAAATATTGTACATGGAAAATAAAATTATACTATTAAAAAAAATTATATCACGTTTGACGTTTCATGTTTCTTTTTTCCCATGTGCCGGGATTTTTGCGTCACGCGTCTGGTTTATCTATACGTTTCGTTTTTTGACGGTTTTATTTTTATTTCTTTTTAATTTATGTCTAAAGAACTTAGTGTAAGTTAAATTTTGAATACTGGTACCTAATATATTTTATATTCAATGAGGGTAAAACTAAAAGAGTACAAAAGAAACCATATCTGCTTAATTGAATCTGAAAATCTGATTCATAAAATATTTTGAAATTCTTTTTTCAAATTGATTGCTTCTGGAGCATAAAGTTTTTATCGTGGTAGCCTCTCATCATAGTTGTATCAAGAATGCAACATAAATGCATCGATCGAGCATCGATTGACCAGAAAGGGAGCTAATTCTAATTTTATTAAAAAAAAAAAACACGGTACTCATGAATCATCAATCACACTACAGAAATTCTCGATATCGTAGGGGTAATATTAAAATGTAAAAGGACCCAATAATAATACAAGTCGTATATAGTTAAAATTATGGTATTTTCGCTTAGTATTGTTACGATACTATGTAATGAAAACCTTGAAATAATGGTACAATTAGGATAATTACAGTACGAAATCCGACCCTGGTTACGTCGTGTTTTGATATGACGTTTGTATTATGACAGATGCGCTACTTTTTCCTGTATGAAAAAGTTATGAGTAAAATATTTAGATGGGCCTATCCTTCCTTTTGAAATCATTTTTCTTCTGAATCTGCTGTAATGTAATAAAAAGTGTACAAACTAGTATGAAGACACTCATAGCGCAATCCCACACGACAGCAAGTTTTTTTCTTTTATAGAAGACTTTATTATACGAAACGAATTTTTCAAATCGGACTGGATATAGTTCCAAACGTTCCGCTTTATTATATCATAAGTATAGCCAAAAAAACATCTTTTATTAAAAGTGAATATTTATTTCTAACACCTAAGAGGAATTATGTAAATAATTTCACATTGTGAAGTCGGTGCAAAGACATACATAGTATATATAGGAGAATAAACGCTCGACTATAGAAAGTGCTATTATTTTATTCTTTATAATTCTAAGTCCACTGTTAGATTTTATTAAAGTTATTTTTACGCTGATGAGTGGACTAAGGTTCACCGTGTAATAATAGTATAAGAATAACAACATCATATCATCCCGTGAGTGTCGTAAGAGGCGACAGAGCGAAACCGAAAGGACAGAGGAAGGAGATGACCTGCACTGTTTTCCTAACAACAAGTCGTAAAACTAAAAAATTGTACAACCTACTTCAATGTAAATAAAATGAGAACATAAAAATGCAGTCGAAGTCAATTAAATACGTATTATTAAGGATAGCTCAAAAACTTGATTAAATCTTGATCAATATATATTTATATGGGACCGCATGAGAAGCACCAGCTTTCAAATAAAAAAAGAGTCATCAAAATTGGTTCACCCAAGAGAAAAGTTCCGAGCTAGCACATAAAAAATACAGTCGAATTGAGAACCTCCTCCTTTTTTGAAATCGGTTGAAATTTTAAACAAAAACTGCATTTACAATTTACATACAAAAGTGTTGCTGTTTACCAAGTATTGCAACTATGGCAAATATCCCCCCTACGAGGGAATCTGTGGGGGAGGCTCCTGTTTAGC